CGCTTACGATGGTTAAGATTCTGGCGGCCGAGAAGTCGGCAGCACCTGAAAAGAGACAGAGACAGATTGCAATGGACATCTGATATATACGGTTGCATGCTCAAGCAAAACGTCGCTTTAACCACAAAGCATTGATAACAACCTATACTCAGTTGTTGTTGTTGTTGTTTTTTGCGGTCTATTTTCAGTGTTCTTTATTTGTGCGCGAAAGGAATGACATAATTAAAGAGGACTACGACAGTCTATGAAAACCTTCATTACCTTCCACAACAAGGCAAGTTTCTAGTCGTCACCAGAGTGGGTGGTCGCATGACTGGAACGCCACATCACCTAAGTAATCTAACCAGATATTGAGCAATCATTTGATACCGGCATGTTGATTCGCGTCAGTTTGGAGTTATGAAACGTTGTGACAGCAATGAAAGTTTCCGATAATGGTCAACACACACACACACAAGAAAAAAAAAAGATCAATCGGCAAGTGGAACCAAAATATGCATTTCTTGAGCAGAAGAACAGGGTCATCTCACAGTAAAAATTAGACCGAAACTTTGATCCCGGAAATTTAAAATTTGTTCACCGACTTAAGGAACATCTATGTTCTCAAATGTACATAAAAGAAATTAAGAAAAAAAAAAAACGAAAGAAAGCACGCGCGCGCTTGTTTCTAAAAAAGAAAAAAAAAAATGTGGATAAGCGATTTCGATGCTGCCGTCAATTCGAGGACCTTCACCCTTCGCTTGTCAATAGAAACCGGTCGGGCCTCCATCGCCCAAAGCTCAAAGCTCCCACGACGAGCGAGTTTAACCGACAACCTACCACCCCGAGGCAACAGTTCGCGGGCGTACAAACACACGTGGGTCGGCATCAAAGAAGACGACCGTCTCGTATAACAATCCAAAAAAAAGAAATAAAAGACCCGCCCCGGACTTTAGTATTTCTTTATTCTTTTTCTGTGCCGGAGGCAGCGAAAAACGACCAAGACCCTCGCGTGGAAACGCTACCTCACCGGAAAGCGTGGCCGCAGAAGCTATGGCGTCATTATCTTTGTCACTCGACGAACCTGGATTTATGGACAGTCTAGGGTTACCCGCGTTCGACGGAAAAGCGATCGCGTCCTGCAGGACGTGTAAGTGCTTGCCTCTCCCCCTGCGCGCGCCCTCACGTTCATCGTGCAACTAAAGTCCCAGTGACTTTACGTGCAACAAGGTCTGCGAAAGAAGGGGCAGGGCGTCCAACAGAAGCGCCCAGCCCAGACCAAATCAGTAAGATAATTCGAATATTAGCAATATTTGATTATGCCAATTGTGCGTCGCAGTATCCTGGGTTCAATCCTTACCCCTGCCATGCAGTATCGATCCCACAACGCGTCCCCCCAAAACAATTCAATGTTTTCTTTTTTGTTTTTTTTAAAGGAAATATGCATTGCCGGACGCTTGAAGTCCAAATCAGTCGCCAAGGTTTCAGCACTGACCGTTATGTTATTCAAATGTTATAAGTGACTTTCTGCAATTTTCAGGGCGTAAAAAGAGGCCCATTTTTGCCCGTTTACGGTAACTGACGCCATAGAGCTCCGTGTATTCCAGAGCTCTGTCGGCTGCCATTTTCCCATTGAAAATGTCAGAAAATCACTTATAACTCTTGAATAAGGCAACGGTTAGTGCTAAACCTTTGGCATCTGGTTCTGAGCCCGAGCGCCACATTTGGGCGGAAAATGAACGTTTGGCCATGAGTAATTTATTTTTGGAATAAAATAAAAAAAATATTTCTTTTTTTTTTAGTTTGGGTGGGGGGGGGGGGGGGGGGGGACGACTGTACATTTTACCGTAATGCGGTCCTGACTAACGACTACGCAATGCACGTTAAAGACCCCGGGCTAGCAGCTGTACTGCACTGGCAAAATATTTCGCGCAGATGCCAGACGACCAAGAAGGCTGACCAACTCCCTTCCGTCTGAACATTCACACAAAACTACTTTCGCAAATGGTTTGTGGGAAACTAGACACACCAAACTCCCTACGACGGTGGTATACGCGCTTTCTTCTCGATTCATCTAAAATAAAGAAAGGATTAAAAAAAATTTCGGACAATAAAATTAAAAAGACACGATTGCAACCATACAACACACCTTATCGACGGAGAACGAGCCCTCGAGAAGATACCCTATGCAAGATGGCGGACGTATTAATGGTTTCCAAAAGCGGCCGGCATTTTCCCGAGAGGAGTGGTCGCGCCTACGGCACACGGAGCACATTCACCCGTAGCCGAGTTCTCCCAGCGCAACCAAGGCGCGCTTTTCGGTACCACCAGCTCGGCCAGCCAGAGGCGGCGGCTGGAGGTGTCACGGCTAGGGTGATCGAGTGCTCCGAAAGTGTCAGGTCCGCTCCCAGAACGAACTAGCCTTTGGCCGAAACGATGCCCCCTGTGTGTTTTGTGCTACCTTAGAGACTTTTTTTTTTTTCTTCTTTTTCTTGCTGATGTTCCCGCGTCGGAGGCTAGGATGCATAATGGGCCCGGATGACGCGTCTTAAAAGACCGGTGGGCGCTTGCGCGTTAATGACCAGTGTTGAGCAGTGGAAGTCCCGTCGCAACCGCTTCTGTTTTTGTTGGAGGTGACAATGAAAGGGATTGGAGGTCGTCGACGCGCTCGTTGAGAGCGGTGTTTAGCTGCGGGCGCTCATCTGAATCTGAGCGCGCTTTTGTGTTCTTTTTCGGTGGAAGATGTTGGATAATGGGATCAAAGCGTGTAAGCTGTAAAGCGGAAATTGAAAAAAAAAAAAGAAGACAGCAGGCAAATTTTAAACGTGGGTGAGAGAAGAATTAACATTTTACTTTTCTGCACAAAAAGAAGAAACGAACTTGCAGTCCCAAAGATATGAGCCGAGAGACTGACAGAGAGGAAGAGAGTATAGCGAGCGGTCAAGGCAAAACGCCGAGCTCAGGGCCGGCTTGCTAGGAGCAGCGTCTCAGCTGAGATTGAAGGAAGCAAAGCGCTGTCAAAGCCAACGCACGTGCTGAGCGGGACCCAAAACCGCGTCTCAAGACGCTCGCGCGTCTAAGCCTTTACAGCACTTTCTTTCCCCCAGTGTCAGCTGAGACGCTGTTTCTAGCAAGCCGGCCCTGGTTCGAATAAATAGACGTAAAGCCAGATGCTTTTGGAAGGCTAGAAGCTAGATGGAAGGGGAAGCCTCGACAACCGGTTGTCTATAGAGAGTTGAAGCTAGGGATGGCATTGCACTATCTCTATAAGCGTTTGTCTTGGCGAGACATAACAGCGAATAATTTGTAGACCTCCCGTAAACTCACCGCAAATCGTACAGAGATAGAAACGTGAAAACTGGTAGAAGCGGAAAAAGAAAACCTAGGAATGTGCCGCTCCTTTCACCGTCCGGACAGGCCGCAGATCGATAACAGGTGATACGAAAATCCGCGCTTCGCGAGTCGGACGTCGTGGGTTTCCATCCCACTCTTTCATTTTACGGTATCGTCGATGCGTTGTATCGGCTTGAATTCGTGCAAGTATGTGCGAATTAAAATAGGGCCGTAAGTGAAATATCATAAATATAGGACCAAATCAGTTTTCCAAGCCTGGGTTGGTGGCGGTAGTGATAACGCGCGACTTACCTTTTGTTTTTTATATAATTTTAATTCTCAATACGAACAATTTGAGAAAATATAAACGCATATAGATAGCCCTGAGTTACACGTTATCTCAATCGTCATATTCATTTACACAAAATTCATAAGCATAATTAACATTCAGTTGGTGTAAAAGTCATCCTCTTCCCAGTGAGTAATTTTGTTCAGGAAACGTAAACGAGACGCTTCTACTGTTGCCTTCCGGTGACGGTAAAATAGATAATGCTGGTTTTATTTTGTCTCTAAGTGATACATTGCTAAAGCGCATTTGTTTCCGTCGTACGGCTTCCCTCATCGTTACTTTTGGTTTTCACAACCTACAAAGCACTGTTTTGTTTTTCTCTCTTTCCCAGATAAGCGGGAGACAGCACCTCCATGACAACTGGTTTCCAAAGATGCATCGCGCCTCATTTTATTTTTATTTTATTTACTTTTTTAAATATTAAATTGATGAGTCATGTAGCCACAGAAAGTGAAAAGGTGACAACCTCGTCTTTCAAGCTCCCCTTTGTCCCGGGAACCCCGACACCTCTAAACACCAACTTTCCGGAACTTATTTTTCTTTTCGAAGCCGTTATCAAGTTTTTTCTGTCACGAGCCAGGACAAAATTCGCAGACGCTATCCTCGGTATCACCCTATGATGGACCGCAGTGGACACTGCGAGCCATCGGAGCCAGCCCAATGTAAAGTGGGCGTCACACGACCTTCGGGAGGGACACAGTGACGCGCGAAGGCACGTAGTCACGTGATAAGGTTTACAGCGCATGATTGGCCGGGAAGGCTTGGATATCGCCCGCTGCGGTCCATCCTAAACCTAAACGGAGTATAGATGCCTCCAGAAAAATCTTAGGGGGAGCGAGGGAGAGTCTACAGCTGGCTTTATCGAACGATATTTCATTCACGCTAAACTCCCTGACCCGTCCTCTGCGATACAACACGCACAAAAAGCACAAAAGAAGACGCAAACACCCACCTAAACGTTCACACCAGAAACAAACAAACCACGTGGGTTCAGGGGGGGTGGAGAGAGAGGAGAAGTTTGGGTCAATGTGCGTGAACGACTGCGAGCACCACCAACAAGAAAAGCGCTATAGCGATAACATAAAAAATGCCCAGCGACGACGTAAAGCCAAACTAAAGAACTGAGAGGGAAGTCGAGGAACGCGGCTTGCCCAAGGTAGAGCAGACAGCTCCCAGAACGAGAGCCTAAGGTATGGGCTACTCGAGCTTCTAGGATGAGTTGACCGAAGCCGAGGCTGGACGGTCCAATCGCCTGTCAGGAATGCGATGCGTCCCAGAGTTCGCCGAGCTATATGGACCAATCAGCAGTTGGGAATACGACACGTGACTCCTACTCGACCCAGTCAGGCGTTAGATATACGATCCATGAGTCCATGACGTGGGC